ACCCTAAACCTTAAACCCTAAACCGCTAAACCTAGACCCCTAAACCCTAAACTCTAACCCCTAAACCCCTAAACCCTAAACCCCTAAATCCCTAAGCGAGGAGAGCTCTGCTAGCGAAAAGCCCGATGAGAAAGCCGAAGCTGGTGATTCAGAGCCCTGGCGGAAGACGAAGATTCTGTTTATCGTGATTCGTGATCATTGCTGTGTGGTTTCGATGGCTATTGGTAAGATAGTTTCCTGCTTGACGATCAGGAAGACGAGGGCCAGGACGAAGAGCAGCCGAAGCTCGCTTCGGAGAGTGACGGGGAGAAGCCTGACAAGGCTGACTTCCCTGGGGGTTTTTGGGGCTCTATGGGGCTTGGTAATTCTTTCTCGCACGTGATTGGGCTGCATGTGAATTTAGCAGAACTTCAGCGCCTGGGCCAGTTTAGGGGTTCGGGGGTTGCTTTTGTGTGGTTTAGGCTCATCAGGAGTCTGAGGGCCATCATGGTAATCTTCCACTTCGCAGCACGGCTAGCACCACCACCAGCAGCACTGTTGCCCTCTCTCTTGCTTGCACGTGTTCATCGTGCTCCTCGCCTCGACTGTTACCATCATCATCACTATAGGCACCAGGGCCAGCAGCACAGTCAACATCCCCGGTTTCACCATGTACCTTCTTAATCTGCATCTGTAAAACATCTGCATCCTCATCCCCCGTGATCATCATCATCGTCGTCATCAGTATCATCACTCTCGCACTCGCCCCGGCATGACCTTGTCGCCATGACAGTGATGACCATCGATTCAATACTGCCAAGACATTTCAGCATGGCCTCCTCCATCAATTTGGTTTACAAGATCACCGAGTGGATATACATCCGAATACATGCAGGAGTTAGTACTTGTAGCACTCATTTCGGGTTGGACGTGGGAGTGGTTTGTCAAACATCTTGTGCCTCCAAATGATTTCTGTTGACAGGGTCTCAGCGAGATGCTGGCTGTTATGACCATACAAAAGTGTTGTTTGTGAGCCAATAGTCTAGGCGCAGAATTCCAAACAAGAAGTGCTTCTATGGCATCCAGCTTGCAAAGGACGGCGAAGACGAGGAGGACGCAGCCGTAGAAGTCAAGGCAGATTCCGATAGCGAGGAGAAGGAGGAGGCAGAAGCCAAGGCGGATTCCGACAGCGAGGAGAAAGAAGAGGAGGCAGAAGCCAAAGCCGACGACTCTGACAGCGAAGAGAAGGCTGAGGCAGAAGATGCCAAAGAGGACTCTGATAGCGAAGAGAAACCGGCTGCTCAAGAGGACTCAGACAGTGAGGAGCAGCAGAAGAAGGAGTCTGAAAGCAGCGCGGAAGAGTCTCCAGTAGCGCGGAAGAAGTCCGATTCCGAGAGTGAAAAGCACGCAAGAAAAAAGAGGCAAGCAAACCGCCGAAAGGACTCCTCGGAAGGATCTTCCTCTGCACAGAAGGCCAGGGCGAGAAGAAGAAAGGACCGACTATTACGTTACATATTGATATAGTATATAGTATATATTATATATACTGCATATTAAATACTGTGTGTTAATTTTTTGTGTATGTATGTATGTATGTATGTATGTATGTATGTATGTATGTATGTGTGTATATATATATAGCATACAAATTACCGTATATATTAAACAGTTTCAGTGTCAAGCATGCAAGCCTGAAGCCTCAAGCCTAAGCGTGATTTCTGCTCACTCCAGCACGACGAAACCATCCTCACAACCAGCTTCCTGCAAAGCAGCTTAGCACGTCAGGGCTGACGTGCCTGCAACGCCTCCGCTCCACCCAAAATCCTATTTCTTGAACCTCAGCCCTAAGCCGAAACAGGAGCACCGAAGAAGTGCCAGCAAACGCCGGCGAAGGCGAGGCACTGCATGACAACATGCTCCAATCTCAAACCGAACCTGAGAAGAACACCGCAGAGCGCATAGCAATTCGATTAACAATGGCAGCAAAAGCACAACAATAGTAGTGGTTTCTATTCCCACTGCTGCTGCTGCTACTACTACTACTACTACTCCTCCTCCTGCTGCTGCTGCTACTACTGCTGCTGCTGCTACTGCTGCTACTACTACTGCTACTGCTACTGCTGCTACTACTACTACTACTACTACTACTCCAAGTCCCAGGAGCCCACATCCCATGAACCCTGACAGCACGAAAGCCCTGTGATATGTAAACCCAAAAGAGTCTTCTGACGGCATGAAACTTGAAACCACCAGGAGTGGTCGAAGATCCCGGCACCGTCGCAGCCGCAGCCGCTCGCGCCGGCGGCGCTCGGAGGCTTTGGCTCTACACTCCGGCTTTGGTCTTTTAGGTTGAGGCTTGCGGTCTAAAGTTTCGGTTGAAGGGTTTAGGGTTCAGGGCTTCTGGGCTCAGGTTTAATTACCTAGGTAGGCCGTCGGGGATCCACTTCTTGTTGGGCATACGTCTCCCAGAATTTTCAAAGGATCCGCTATTCAGGTGTCCTACCGGCACGGCGGTTGTGATCGGGCTTTGTTCAAATCATCCATGTCGAATCCTGCAAACTGTTTGGGATATGCGATCCCGTTTTGGGACGGAGACCTCGAGCATCAGGAGCCACCATGAAACCCTAAACCCTAAAACCCTGAACCCTAAAACCCTAAACCCTAAAACCCTGAACCCTAAAAGTTAAACCCCAAACGAAGAACTGGAACCCCCTTGGGATCGACTCGTAGACCTATGGGCCCGGAGAGCCCAGATACCCTTTAGGGTTTAGGGTTTTTTGGGGTTTAGGATTTAGGGTTCAGGATTTAGGGTTTAGGGTTTTTTTGGGTTTAGGATTTAGGGTTTAGGATTTAGGGTTTAGGGTTTAGGGTTTAATTATCTCTTTGAAATCATGATACAAAGCCCTGAACGACCGAAGGAGTCAGCCCTAAACCCTAAACCCCAATCCCTAAACCCTAAGCCTTAAACCCAAAATCCTAACTTAATCAGGGGTTGTGTGGCTTTCTGGCTCAGGCATCCTGGTACTCTTTGGCAGCAGGGTGGCCAGATGTCTAAATCTTCAACTTTTCACCGTAAACCACCCCCCCCTACTGGTAGAAGGTTTTGTTCCGGGTATGGGATACAGAGGACTCAAAATGCACAGACTCCAGAGCTGCAGTACAAGATGGCAGTCTTTGCTATGGCAAATAGCCATCAGAAGAGGCATGAATCAACACCCATAGTAGAAATCTCCCAGTCAGTTTCTTTTTCATTACGGTGCCCTAAACCCTTCTTCGCCATGCTTGAGCGCTCCCGATGCGACCTCAGTCGGTGTTCTATGTCTTGCTCAGCCGCCGGCTTTTGCAGAAGATGGTGTATGGTTTTCTGTCCAGTTCTATTTGTCATGGTGCCTATAAGGATACGGCGGATGATGAAGATGCTGTTGTGTCCCCGACTAGTCAAAATATAACACAAAGTGTCATGGGCACATGCATTATCTTCCCAGAGGTGCCCGCAACAGCAAGAGCCTTGATCCGCACAGCTTTGTAGCACCTGAATAGTAGCCGTAGAGAGCCCTTTGTAGGACCTCAGCAGATAGAGCCTTTGTAGAACGCTTACAGTATCCCTTATCTCTGATAGTTTGCTTGGCCATGGAGCAAGAAGCGATGCCGGTTCCCAGCAGCACTGTGGAAGCGAGCGCGCCAAAAGCGCCGGAGGAATCGAGGGGCGCATGGCACATCTGGTTGCTTCGACTTCCTGGCTGAGTAGATGTATCGATGTAGCTGTCGATCTACCATTCTTTCTTTCTGTTGGCCTGTCTACATCTAATATAGTACCCTAAATAGTAGGATCCTTATTATAAGGACCCCAATAAGGTACCCTAATTCTCGGAAAGTCCCATATACATCTCTTCCTGTCTCCTTCTATTCTGCGGACACGTTCGACTTTCGAGTGCTGCAGTCTTGAATGATCCTGCTTATAGTGTCAGCAACAGTCGCAGCCATACTTGTAACGCCAGTCTTCGCATGGGGCAGGAGCGGTAGGAACAAGTGAATCTCTACAGAGAGGCGTGGTGGCCGTATAATTATCAGTGCACTTCAATAGGAGTTTAGAGCACCATTCTTGTGACATTTGTCTACATGTCGTGCCTGCTTGTGAAAAATTTAGGGCTCCTGTCATCGGCATACAGGTAAGGTGACTTCATGCCCACCCACAACGGCGCATGCCCTTATTAATCACAGTTCCACTTGCCAGGCCCAGCCAGCAGAGGAGGGCTTGTCCAAGCCGTCGGATGTGACGGTGGAGGAGCCGCTGCGTTGTCCTGGGTTCTTGTTAAGGGGTTTAATTTAAGTTACCATAATAGCATCTATAAAGTAAATAATATGGTTTCATTATTATGGCAACTTAAATTAAATCCCTTATAAACCCAGTTTTGTCTCCGAGTCGAGGTTTAGAACTGATGGACTGAGCGATTCGCCGATGGCGGCTTGGGTGGTTTTGGCCCTTCTTGCTTGCAAGCTTTCTTGCGGATTTTGCACAAGCTTAGATATGCAAAATGCACATCCTAAAGATGGACCTTATGCAAAGATCTGCATCGCCCTGCAGTGGCGCGGCTTTCGGGACAATGCTTCAAATCCATCCTACCCACTGGATAAAAGCTTTGGGAAACACTTAACAATTAGAATTGCAATCACACTGCTCCAAAATCCAAAACCCTATCCTAAACCCTAAACCCTAAACCGAAACCCTACTAGGACCATGAGAACGAGATCGAGATCCCATAAGCAACGAAGCGAGTACCCCGCTCTCCGGGCTCCTGAATCCGCATGTTGCACGGACAGCTTGTTGGACACAGTTCGGGCAAAATTACTGAAATCCTATATGTTGTCAAAGGCAATTGAGGGTCTTAATTGAAAGTTGGGATAGCAACTGATGTCTTAATTGAAAGTTGGGATAGTAACTGATGTCTTAATTGAAAGTTGGGATAGCAACTGGAGGAGTCCGAGGATGATCTGCTCCAGAATCCAAACCCTATATGCTAAATCCGTAAACCCTAAACCCTAAACTGAAACCCTATTTGGATCACCTGGAGGAGTCCGGGGATGATCAGATAGATGAGATACCCCTGTGGCTGCATGCGCCTGGGCGACATGGAGCTTCCCGTTTCCCCAGAGAGCCCAATACCCCTTAGAGAAGGAATGTACCTTAAATATATAATAAGGGCCTTAATATTTTGATTTAAGGTATATTACCTTAAATAATAGGGGCCTTAATATTATGATTGAAGGTCTATTCCTTAATTAAGGGGTCTTGGGCTCCCTGGGTCTGGCATGGCCTTTTATGTTGTCTGCACAACCCCAAATCGCCCCTCGGAAACCTAGGAGCACGAATGCTTATCCGGTCCCTGGGATTTGAAACTGCAAGCCCTTGCATTCTGAGGTTTACGACTTGAACGAGACCACGGGCTATCTCAACAACTACGGCTTGAAAAATGCTGGGCGCACAGCTGTTCTTAGCTGGTCGCGCACTCGCAGGATTAATTCTGTTCACGAGATGGTTCCGTGCATGTGCATGAAGGTGTGTGTGTATGTATGTATGTATGTATGTATGTATGTCTGTATGTATGTCTGTATGTATGTATGTATGTATGTATGTATGTAAGTATGTATGTAAGTATGTACGTATGTATGTATGTATGTATGTATGTATGTATATAACCATAACAAGCTTTAAAAAAAAGAGTATAAGCCCCAAACCCTAAACCCTAAAACCCTAAACCCTAAGCCCTAAACCAAAACCCAGACCCGTCAAATCCTCGAGGCAAGCCTTGGCCTCTTCCATGCCGGCGTGGAAGTTCTGGGCACGGCCGCTTGCAGAGATGGGCTCTGGGAGTTTAGGGCTTTTTTTGGGGGTTTGGGGTTTGGGGGTTTAGAGAAGTCTTGGGGGTTTGGGGACACTGGGAGTTTAGGGGTTCTGGGGCTTTTAGGGTACATGTTTAGGGGTGTTGGAATGAGGGTTTGGGGGTTTGGGGTTTAGGGTGTAGGGCTCAGAGGGTTTGGAGATTTTTGGGGGCTTTGGGGTTGAGGGTTTAGGGTTAGGGTTTCGGGAGTTTTCGGATTTTAGCGTTAGTGGTTTGAGAGGATGTAGGGGGTTGCGTTAGGGTTGACTCAGGGTGTTGGTGTTAGGTCATTTTGGGTTTGTGGATTTACGGACTTGGTGCTGGGTTTCAGGGTCTGGGTAATTACCTCTCCAAGTCATGTTTGTTGGGGGGGATCCCCCCAAATAGTATGCGGCTTTAGCCCATCTCATGCGGGTTTTGAGAGTTTTTGGCCGTGGGGCACATGCTACTGGAAGGAGTGCGCCTCGTTTCGAGTTGAGGGTCGATGCTAGAAATCCCTGGAGGTTTAGGGACTGACTATACCACAAAACATTAGTCAAACTATTTTGTAATATATTGTACTATAGTACACTATTGTATACCCTGTTCTGCTACATTCTATTATACTGTAGTAAACTATCTCGCGCTATAGTGTACTATATTACGCTCGTTTTGTGTGTGGACTTTATCAGACCATATAGTACTAGAGGTGTAGGCTCATCAGGAACCCGGACAGTCCCCCAGCCCTCCGCCTTTTCAACTAGCAGTAGTCCGAATTTTGGGAGGTTCTGTGCCAATCTCGAGGAAGGTTAGAAGCTTCAAGTTGAACCTTTTAATCACCGTTCCCTGAAGCCTTGGACAGTTCTTGGGGTCGGAGGTCACGTACGGGTCGGAATAATTGTTCCCCCGGTTTCCTTACTATGTTTGTAGCACAATCTACCCCGAAACCCTATTGGAGCCAAAGGCTTAGGTGGAAGTTGGGGAAGGCGTTTAGGGCTTACCCATAGGCCCTAAGTAGTTCCTTTTTTATGGTTTATATTTAGAATCCTATAAGGTAATCCCCAAAAGGAACTACTTAGGGGCCTATGGGTAAGTGCTGAAACCTACACCCTAAGGTTCTCTTCAGGTTTTGCTTGGGATCTCAGTCGCACATCGACCCGGAGGGTCGCAGGGTGGCTCCTTTACTCCGAAAATCCGCCGGACATGACTCACAAATGATATGATAGTATGTGACATATTTTAACATATCACTAATTACCTTAAACCCTAACCCTTAAACCCTACACAGGCCCTAAACCCAATGAAATAAGCTATAACCCTCCGAGGAGTACTTCTTTGGCTGGGGCGATACCGAGCTCTCCGGAATCAGATGCAACAGGCACGGATGGCTGGGTTTAGGGTTTAGGGCTTAGGGAGTTTAGGGTTTATAAGGTTTAGGAACCCCAGGCCACGAGTT